CTTTGCTGTACCTATTAATCTTTTCACTCCAAAAGTGCATGTAGACTCACTTTACTGTGTTGACTGGCATCAGACACTCTTTAGACCAGTTAACAATATTATTAAAGTCTGCCTAAAGTGCGCATGAGTCTGCGTCTGCAGTTATTACTCGTCAGATTTCTACATCGTCAGTGTATAATAACATTGGTGACTGTACTATTCTTGGGAGACTATCTACATACAGTGTAAAAAGTAAAGGACCTAGGACGGAACCTCGAGGTACTCCACTAAGTACTGGTTTCTAGGTGGGGGACTTGGAATTTATTTTTACTTACTACGAAATTCTTAAGCCATTTTAAAAGAGGTCCGGCAATACCAATATTTCCTAACTTCAATAACAGTCTATTATTTGGCACCTGGTCAAAAGCCTTATTGAAGTCTATATACACAACATCCACTGAGTTTCCGTTGTCGAGCGCTTTTATTCGAAATTCCCTTGCTATAAGGAGGTTAGTTGTACAAGACAGACCCTTTCTAAAACCATGTTGTTTTCTGTTTAACAAGTTATTGGTTTCCATAAATGCCATTATGGTTCGTTTGACTATTCTTTCCATTATTTTAACTATATACTGGTGAGGCATACAGGTCTGTAGTTCGATGGAAGTTATCTTGGTCCTGTTTTATGTATGGGAGTAACGATTGCGTTCTTCTAGTCCACAGGTAACGAACATTGGTCAAGTGACATGTTGAATATCACAGTCAGTAGGGCCGCGATTTATTGTGCAATATGTTTCAAGATTTTGGGGTGTAGTCCATCTGGTCCTGTTGACTTTTTCATGTATAAGATTCTAAGGGCCTTAAGCACATCGTCTTGATCGGAGTCTTCGCTGAGCAGGTGATCTGTTGACTCTGTATTTGGATTTCTTTCTTTATCTAGAGGAGGTTCCTGCATGAAAGATGCTGCAAAATACTATGTTTACCATTTTCCCCCTCTTTTATCGTTAATATACCTAGGTTCCTGCCTAGAAGTATTGGTGGTCCAGTGCTAATAGACACGGAAGCTCGTTAAGCGGAAGCTTAGTTTATTTCATCCACAACCGTTTGAACTGTTTGGATATTGAAGCCTTTGCGCGTATTATAAAGTATGTTGCCAATGTGGTCTTTCATAGATAATTTGGTAAACGTGAATTATACAGCCGAGAGAATGTGAAGTCTCGACTCTTTTTTGGAAATTTTCAGAAATAAAATACGTTTAAATGACCTTCTATTCTGGCGACGATGATTATGATTACTGTCCTGACATCAAAGCTGTCAGTTCGTGATGAGAATCCTAGACGTAACCGCTAATCCTACTTATTAACACTTAACCCTAGCCGTATATTAACATTTGGGCCATAAACATGCAGCAGCACTTTCGTTCCTTATCGGTTTGGCTGTATACTTTTCGCTTATCAGTAATTGTTGACTCATCGTTGTCGATGATTGTTATAATATGCATAATAATTCAGAAGATCATTTTAAAACGTTCGGCCAGATTAAGTATAGTTTCGCCCTATAGTTTTACTTTCATTGAGATTATAGCACCAGTCTTCAGTAGTAAGGATAAGTCTGTTGACTTGTATTAATCCTTGTAATTTGTTACACTGCGACGGTCATGTCTCGTTTTGAATTTATCAAAAAAGGTGCTAATGTTACGTATTCCGGTAAAAATTTCCAGTAATTCATCACTTGGTGCGAAAAACGGGTCTCTAGACTCGAACGATTTGATCTCGGTTTTTGAACTTTATTGGAATGTCCTCACAGGTGATCAGCTCTAGATGGAAGGAAAAGATAAGACATATTAATACCAATGACGTCGTTCAGCATATGATAAGTCAACATCGGAGCACCCCGTATTCCGTGATATGATGGCGGAAGTTGGGATGTCTCAGTCTATCGTCATAGCATAGGCCATAGAGACTTTTTAACCATTTTGGTCTATTGTCGTTGGACTTGTTCTAGTATATCCGCCTCATACTTGATTTAAGGACTCACTTCTTGAATACCATGTTCCAAGTGCGAGCTTATCTGGTTTGATATGTTGAGGTTATATTAACACAGTTCCTTTTTCAATAACTACAAGGCCCTGATCACGATTAATTGTTGGTCGTTTCTCATTGCCGGTATAAAACGTACTAAAATGTCTTGATCAGGCTTCAGATTTTTCGGCACCATCTCTTGCCAACATCGAGGAACTTTATTGCGCCAAAATTGGTGGGATTCAATCACTTCCCTGAGTTTGCCTCTTTATATACGAAAATAACCTTTTCGGACTATTTTCACAATCCATAACCAATTGTTTTTCATGGGGCTGTCTAATCCTACTTATCAACGCTTTACAAGCATTCCTAGTCCTACAATAATTGAATATATATTGTTCTAAGCCTGCAGAGATGAACATATTTCAATGCATCCTCCTGCGTCTAAGAAGTTTCTTGACTTTCTTAGTTATTTTATGTGCGTGGTACTAAACATGGTATAAGCGAGAACGTAGTTAAAATAAGCTTACATTTAAATATATACCATGCTTTTCAACTGATAAACCAGTATCTACTGACCAGTCTGTTTTTGCAGCGCATTTCTGAATGGCTGATATTTTTGCTCTCCATCTCAGTCCACTAATATCAGGTGCCTTAAAATCTCATATCAGGCACTTGTTATTTTCATTTTATGGCTGAAAGCACTCTAAAATAGTCGTCAGCTAAGCAGATTTTGCTACGATAGGTGACGAAATATTTTTGGTGTGTTTCCTCTTAATGCACACCTTATTTCCGTAATGGATGTCTTCCTTATTTCGTTCCTGTTATCTTTAATTCCCTTGACGGCAGTTCCTTCACTATTGCCCAAGGTTACTTTTGTGTACTTAGTTTTGGGTCACATTTCTTTAAAGTCTTATAATATTACCGAATTTCTAAAATCAAGTTAGTTTGAGTAATGCTTTTGAGAGAGGAGAGTCCGTCCTCCCTCTTAGAATGCTCTCACATGGCCACGCATATACAGCCACTGTCAGGGAATTCCTACTCACTGCCTTCTCGTGGCTGGGGTGTTGCTTACAAACTTGAGAGAACGAAAAACGGATGTCTGGTACTCTAACCGAGTTAGTGGATACGATGGGTCCACCTTGGGAAGTTGGAAAATCGTGATTTTAAACTAATTTCGCACTTGGGCTCCAGGATCCTAAGGAAGCAAATGGTGTATGAAGCTATTGTTGGCCACCGGCCACCATGGGACTGCATCTCCTAACGCTGCCCCACTGCCTTGTGGATTAGACCTTTAGGTCAAAGGCTCTGGGTGTGCCTTAAGGAAACCACCTGAACAGTATCATGGCCCTCACACAAATCTAATGACAAAGTGTGGTGCATATCTATTCGTTGCCTCCTTGTACTAATGTTTATGTGTTTAAATAAGTAAAGTAGTACTGAGCCCCGGATCAGGAGCTGCACTGATTGATATGATTCCTATTAATGGTCATTTATGTGCTGCTAGATTATAAAGCTGGGTAAAGGTGAGAAGAAATTGGTAAAAACTGCTGTTTCTTGATAATCCACACTCAGATCGATTTCATCCCGGACTTAATCAAATGTGAGTTCTGCCGTCAATCAAGTGATTCCCAGAAAGTGCGTTCGAACGATACTGTAGTACTAGCCTGGAATTTGAATGTGAAAGCTGGGGGAACTGACTGAGTTGCTGACATTAAGATAAAGTGGAAACTGCAGAGATTTTGACAATTTATGATACGGTACCATAGTACGAAAGAAAGCTGTATGTAACCGGTGTATATTGGTCCATTACGACTCCTTAGTCAGAGTCCAAGAGACAATGAAGCTCATTGACCTGAGATATTATCAGACATGATTCACAGTAGAGGCCGTTGTCGATGCTTCTGTAAATTTCCTTTACCTTCTTTAAGATGAGATAATTTTTGTTAACCGAAAAAACTGTATTGGTCACATTTTTAGCCTACCTGTATTCTATTGTATACTATTCTTTTTCTAACTAAATTTCTTTTTATTTGTTCACAATATTTTCTCTCTATATATATATGGAGCACATTTTTTTGGTTTCTACTTATACTAAAATCTGTCTATTAAATAAAGAAATAATAATGACTAGTAGCAATGCTAATTCTTATTTCTGCAGATTAACTGTCGAATTTTAGATTCTACTTGGTTGGTGGTAGTCAACTGTAAACTGAGGTACAAGTTCATAGTTGTTTAGACTTCTAGTTAACATCACTTGTCCTTAGATAGGATACGTTACTCGTAGTTCAGCATCCAAACCTGTATATGTTGGCTGAGTTACTGTAAGGGGTTCGCAAATTATACCGATATAGGTTCCACAACTGTGTGTAACACATCTTGAAGTTCAATCAGTTATCTTTGTGCCTACAGCTCGTTTATTTACTTTAAAAATTAACCAGATTGCGTTATTTGCTTCACTTTCGTAGTAGGGTTAGTAAGTGCAGTTTAGCAGCAATATATTGTATTACGTACTTAATTGTAAGCCGATATTATAGCTAATTATGCTACATGAAATAAGACGGATTGAAACCGTATCTCTTGATGAAATTAGTAATATAATTCGACACTTGAAAACGTTTTTTCATTATTCGCTAAGTCAGTATGACTTTCTGGACAGTGGTTAAAGACTCCTAAATGGTTTCATTTGCCTCTTTTCGAATATATTAGTATGACACTCAACCCGAAAGGTGGTTTTTAACGAAAAAGAAAGAGTAGCGACGGAAGTCTTTACGATTATCTGATTGTTTTGCTTTCTATCTCCTAAATCCATCATTTTATGGAATTATATAACGACAGTATCATTTTTCAAAAAGATTTTTGTAACAAAGTGAGGGTTTAATTAACTGATGGATAAACTGTCTCTTTCAGAGAGGTACAATGTCTCCAAAAAATTAATGAATATTTACAATAACTGCTCTTACCTTGCTTTTTTTACAGAATTAGTTCTTATTTTGATGGATAATGAACTCTTGTTGGGGTTTATTTGGTTTGGCATTACGCATCTCATTATATAAGAGGCCTAGTGGATTATTAAAAGGCTTTTCATACGTTGATAGGGCATCAACTCAAAAGCTTTTTCCAATGCATTTAATAAGTCTTCAGAAACACAATGGAAGTCGTCATGTTGGACAAGATTCTGATTCTTCAGATGATGAGTTAGCTGATGAAGATGAGGATGATGATGATAATGCCGATGAATTAGATCCATATTATTCAGAAGATATGGCGTTCAGTCCACATTTTCGACAAATCTCATCATACGTCAAATCTTTACGTTTTGATAAAATTATTCGTGTGGGTTTAGATATCACTAGAAGTGCTGCTGATAATGCCTTTTTTTCTAACCGATGTAGGTTAAATGGAGAAAAACTGCTTAAGATGGGTACTACAGTTTATATAGGTGATAAACTTGATATAGTGATCGACGATACAGAAGGACCTCTTGGTAAAAGAGTACGAGTTCTTGACATAAAACAATCAAAACAAAATAATTACAAGATTAGTTTACGTTGTTGGAGAAATAATGTCAAATTGTAAAGATTTCTAATATTTTAGCGATATAATTCTGTATTGTGTTTAAATAAATAAAAAAGTGATCGATATAAGGATATCGTTTTGTTCTTGATTTCTTTTTTTGTTAAAGTGTGTAATATTTGGTTTTATCTTTGTAGTTGTATTATGTCAAGTTATTTTTGGTCGGTCGACCACCTTTGGCTCTATTTTCATTATTTCTATTATTATGTGCAGTTGGATTAATTGTATTAGATGTACTAGTGAATAAATCCCCTCCTAATAATCCTGATGTTGAAAAACATTGGAATAAATTATTATTAGAATTATCAGGATTAGAATTTTGTATTATTAATTCATCAAATGCAAGATTAATGGCAGAATCTTACGCAAGTGCACATGTTCTACGTGGATTAGATGATATGGAATCTGACAACGTCATTATTTCACATGCAATCCATCTACCTTTATTAATATATCCTAATGAAGAATTTGTTTATGATATGTCATATTTATTAATTGCTAAAATGCATGGACGTCATATTGGTATTAAAGGTATGTTGAAATTTTCTTATCAGCTTCAATGTATGCTTTTTTATACTGAATATGGCTCAATGGAAAACATTGTTATCTTAATAAAGCAATCGTGGAGTGTCGAAACCTAATTTGAAAGCTAGCCGGTTATTATATGGCTATGGACGCAATGTTGTTACTCAATAAAAAAATACGATTTCACTTTGTGGTTTATCTGATAAAGTAGACTAACATGAAGCTGTTAATGGATGTTAATATTTCATGGTTATAGTCGGTTGTATAGCTTCATTTGCGATTTGTAGCAGCCAGACCAAAACATGGCACAAGTCCATGAAGTCACTGACAAGTGGTCTGAGTCATGTTGGTAGGTGTAGACTACCTGGTTGGGGACCGCGAGATGATAGCAACCGATCGTTATAGACCCTGAATGACATGACTCAAAATCGTTTGCAATGACGCAGTTGCATCGACTCTTTGTGTTCCCCCAAATTCTAATCTTCTGAATTCTTCATGTCCCTTGTTTCCTCTTTCCAAATTTATTTCACTGAATTATACTCTTTAAATAACATCTCCAAACCCTAATCTTCCCGATCACTGCTTACACTCTTGCTACCTCTATCACTACGGGATTCGGATCGACAACTGCATCTCTGTGTTAAGGTGGTGTGGTAACTCGAACTGATGTACGTACGTACGAAGTTCTACGTTGTTACTGACTGGGTGATATGGCTCAGAATCGAGCACAACGGTGTAGGTGTATACACTCTCTGTCTTCCCTCAAACTATGAGATTAAAATTATTTCATATCTTTCTTTGTATGTACTAATTCTTTCTTCCTGTACTATATCCTTACATTTAAACATTCTTTTATATATTACCACCATTGAATTAACTACTATGAATTCGGTGTTAATCTTGTTATGCTAATGAGGTATGACAACTTGGACCGATGCATATATGTGCCTGGTCCTACGTTGTGGCTGACTGGCTGACAATTCAATTCAGGTTGTTTCTTACCGCGTGAAGAACAGTCCATGTATATAAAATCCGTTTTGGCAACTAAGGTTATTTCAAATAGTTTAAATGAAGTTTATGTTTTCAGTTGTTGTAGCAAACGTGAAAATGATGTTTCCATCATAAATAAATATCGGTTGAGCTGTTGTGAGAAATCACAAGGTACTGGACATTTGTTTTGTATTATTTTGTATGTATGCAGCAGTATAACTCATTTACTCACGAAAATCAGTCTCAGGTCTTCAGAACTAACAAGCTGGTTTTCAATTTACATTCTCATTTTAGTCTACTTCCGGCACGCATTATTATCGTAAATTAACATTCACTGTCATTTGAACTCATGACCCCCTGGCAGTGTTATCGTCGATTTTCAGTTGTTGAAAGCTGTGCGATAACCGAGTGTTTATCCTATAACAGTATCAGAGTACTAGATTTGACAATAAAACGTAATGTATCATAAGGAGTTGTAAATGTTTATATCTGCCCGTTTACGTCTACAACATAAAACAATAGTTGTGCGTGATGTCTAGTGAAGCATTATGAAATTGTACTTTTGGAAATCCCGTGACAGAATACGTGGTGTTGTGCTTTATTGGTTGAAATACTTCTTTAACATTGTGGACCATATTTCCGAAAACTACCTAACATATAAATATTTAAACAGGTAGTTAATTTTGTCATCAAAATCCTTCTAGTTACTCGATGATGTTTAGTTTTACTCAAATCCAATATAATGATAATGACTAACTGCTGAACCTAAACTATAGCGCGTTTTCCGTGACGTATCTTTTGAAACTCTGTTATGTCCTGATAAGCATAATGAATGGTAACTTTTGGACCCATTTATGGACCAATACTAAACGTATGTTTTTATCGTATAATTGTTAAATAACTTAGCTATTCATGTTCATATTCCTCTTATTATAAGCTTTATTTTGACTTATGAACTATTATTATACGCTTTATCATTCTTGATTTATGCCCTGTCTATTAATCACTGCCTCCCACATTCACAGCCACTTTTGGCCAAATCTTGTACAAATGTTGTTTTCTATTTTATGGTACTTTGTGGTCTGTTTGATTGGTATATAAACTCAGTATGTTTGAAATATAATGATTCATATCGCAGAGGCTCGGATTGGCGTTCTGGACTCAACTGGCTGGGCTGGGCGAAAAGTAGGACCAATCAGGACGTGTTTTATGCGTCATTGGTCCGATCGATAATTCACTGCTTTCTAACTGGTGGTTACAAGTTATAACAAGCTCTAAGCGCAAAAAGTATATATTTTAACCATTATAAGGTTTGAGACGTTGGGTGCGATAGTTTAGAATCGCTTACATCGGATCGGAGGTATTCATTCTTTATCATTCTATAGATCTTGAGTTTCAGTATTCCTTCTTACATACATTCTCATTTCATTTCAAACATTCTAAATGTTTAATCTTTTTCACTGTTATTGCTACTATAACCATTGGAACTCTTTTGCTATTTATCTTACTAATTTCATCTCATCGCGTTGATTCGGTGATTCTCACACTTGTGTTAGGCTCTTTTTGTCCCATGATTGACTGGCATGTCTTTTAGGTATTTCATTTTAATACTAACAAACGATGGTTTTTCATTATTCTAGGTCCTTTAGCATTGCAAAAACTGAACATATCTTTTCTGGTACCATCAGTTCGAAATGAAAATCGTAAAGGAAAAAAACCGAACTTTCAACTTGTACATTTAAAAACATGTGTGACTTTTACTGCTACATCAGCTATTTTCCCACCAATACTGTAAGTTTCAAACGTAGTAAAGCAATCATTTTGGACAAATGGGATGTTTTTTTTTGCGTAATATGTTACTTTTCAATGTTTATATTGTATAAATAAGTGTTTGTGTTACTTATTCATTTAACGCTTCTCATTTTGGAAGAAAACTTGAACAGATTTATTAACCACTGCTGTAGATCATTTTTAGGTAAGAAAACCCACGTAGACATTTCCAGTGTTATTTGATAGAGCCTTGGGAATCCAGTACTTACTAATAGTGCGTATTTAATAGTTATAGAATTAGAGTCCCACCTGTTGCCTAAATCATTAAAAATGGCTATTTGTTTATATTCTTTTTTCTGATATGTTTGGTTTATAGTTCGAAATTCTGTGTTACCCTTCCAGGTCATGCGAATTTAACTCATTTACGAGTTAGATTTATTTGAGATGCATTCATGTTAAAACAAATAGTGCTGTACTTTTTCCTCTATGGCAATCGCACACACGTCTAATCAAGTTTTTTTTTTAAAAATCCATCCATTTGTATTGAGTAACAGCATGCTACACAAACGACATTGCTCTTAATTACGTGATGGTAACCAATGGAAACTTTTAGGTAACTAATTGTATAATCTTTAGTCAACCAACTGTTACGTAACAATGTGACTTTATTATGGTGGAGATGATGGTGTTTACTAATAAAATGCATGTGAGTGTTTAAGTTTGACCAATATGTTTCATATAATAAGTGTAAGTCATTTAATAAATTGATCATTATACATCGATTAAGGTGACCACATCATTTGTTGTAAATTTAGATGCATTATCTGTTTGTTTTGTGTGCTCTGATTTCTCACGTTATTGTTTTTATGCTGTTGTCTACTACTTCTGCCTTTGTCGCCGATGGTGGAAACTATAAAAGTTTAACAATGTTCACAAAACACCTATTATTATAACAATTATATGCCCATTAGCAACCAATTTCGAGAGGTAATTCCAGGGGTTTTAATAAAATGAAGTTCAGCCTTATCTAGTGTGAGACAGTTACTCATCGGCGACATTGAAAGATGGCTAGACAACAGCAGAAATTGATTTAAGCTAGGTATTTAAACCAGTAAATGTCAACTCAACCCTCCTAAAGTTAAGAATTTGAGGGCCCTTGGCTTGACATTCGATGATCTTATGGTTGAGCACTGCTGAGAATCACTATGGTAGGACGAAACAGTTGTATAGTAGGAAGGAGGCAATTCAGAGAAAATTCTCTTTTCGACGATTTCATTTACCTAAGCTGTACAATCATTTTTATGTTTAATTTTATTTGCTAAAATATTGGTCCATAATGAAATAGAATGGTGTAGAATAATTAGGAAAAAAACTTAAAGTAGTATCTTGTCATAAATTGTTTACGAAAAACAGATACTGAAAGGAAATTGCGTAATAATCGGCTAGTAAAGAGAAGTAAGGTGAAGCAAATACTAACTTTAAGCACAAGGAACAACATCTTTTGACATGGCGACCTCCAAATCCATCCCAACGTTGAACCCAAATAGATCACATCGCTATCAGCCACCGATGGAGGGGTTCGATAGAGGACTGTCGCTCATTCTGGAGCACATGCTTAGATTCAGATCATGCTCTGGTGCGAGCGCGAAATCGTCTGCTTCTTACTGGACGTAGGAAAGACAACGTAAAGAAACCTCTCACGTTCCTACTCAATGACAGCCAAGCTAAGAATATATGTCAGGAACAACTAGAGAAATAGCTAGGCACCCATGTAAGTGGTGCCCACCCCGAGGCAGCATGGAATGATATCCGAAAAGATGTGGAGACAGCAGAGATATCTGCTAGTGAGGTAAACCATAAGGTTTGGGAGGAAATATTGGATCTCAGCAGCATCTACCACACTGATAGATGCTCGGAAACTCATCCCACCTGGCTCTGACATACGAGGAAGAGCGGAGTCAGTTTAAGGGCAAACTGATGAGAAGCCTACGCAATGATCGCGAACAGTGGTGGGTAACGAAAGCAACAGAGAGATGGAAAAGGCAGCAGCAATAGGTTACAGCAGACAACTTTTCAGAATTGTCAAGGAACCCGTTATTAGGAATCCAACTGTTAGCGGAACTATCTGGGGAAAAAATGGACATATTATTCACTCTCAATCCAGGAGATTGGATCGATATGAAGAACACTTTAGGGATCAGTTCAACTGGCCTTCAGTCACACTTCGGTTTCCAACGATCTGCAGTCGTCCTAAATGGCAAGTCGATGTAAATCCTCCAACTCTTTACGAACTTGAAAAAGCTATAGGAAATGTGAAGCGACGGAGAGTAGCAGGCCCTGACATGTTTAAACCTGAGATTCTTAAGGATGGCGGTCCAATATTAGCAGTGAGATTGACTGAGGTCTTAGGTAGAATCTGGGAACGGGACACAATTCCATTTGACTGGTCGACAAGGAAGGACAAAAGTTCACTTATGGCAATCAAAGAGGAATCAGTTTGATTAATATAGTGTTTAAAATATTAGCTTCAATAATCCTTCGACGCCCAAATAAATCTCGTGAAGAGCAGACTAGAGAAATCCAGGTGGGTTTCCGACCTGTATAGACCAGATATTCACACTACATCAGGTCCTATATCATAGACACACATTCAGACGTTCCACAATAGTAGTATTTCTCGACCTTAAGGCGGAATTCGACTCTGTTGATCGTGAGGTTCTATGGCAGTGTTTGTCACTGAAAGGAGTACTAACGAAGTACATTAGCCTTGTAAAGGCTCTCTACTCGAACACAACTGGTAGAGTGAGAGCTTATGGCGAACTGTCATCAGAATTGATTACTTAAAGTGATGTTCGTCAGGGCTGTCCACTCTCTCCATTCTTTTCTAACTTTGTCGTTGACGTGCTTTTAGAGATGACACTTTCCATATCTAAATTTCCAGGGGTTGAACTTTTACCAGGATATTTATTTATTGACTTAGAATATGCCGACGACATAGTTCTATTTGGTAACGACGCTGACAAAATGCAGTCTTCTGAATCTCGAAGCATTTAGTCAATTCTGGTCATTACGCTTTACCAGAAGCCTTTTTCAAAATCACACACAACGGGAAGATTCGGCTCAATAGGAATGAGAATGGAAAATTTGTGTACAGAAGAGGCTATCGCTACTCATGAGTCCGAGCCTAAACTTTGCGTAAAAAAACAATACATTCAGTCCCCTATTCTTCCATGGTCTTCACCTACCTTTCTATCTCCTGTAATCTGTTTTATTTTTTTTTACTTCTATTCGTTTCTGATCATGATCAAAACCATTAATTATCCACCATTACAATTTTGAGTTATCTGTTCTTAATAGCTATAAAGTGGACAAATATCCTTCACCTTACTACTCTTCACTAGCCTATTATTACACAATTTCTTTTCAATATCTGTTTTTCGTAAACAATTTATGACAAGATACTACTTTAGGTTTTTTTCCAATTATTTTACACTATTCTGTTTTATCATAGACTAATATTTTAGCACATAAAATTAACCATAAAAATGATTGTACAGCTTAAGTAAATGAAATCGTCGAAAAGAGAATTTTCCTTCCTGAATTGTCTTCTTTCTTTTTTAGTGAAACATTGGTTCTATTTTGTCAATGCTTGTCTAATTCTTCGCGATTTTCATTGGCTGTTTAGCTATGATGAGTCTGTAATTTAAGTAATGAAGTCCGAAAATGTGTTTTATCTGGTCAGTTTTTCAAACTGATCTTGGCAACCTAATGATTTCTAATCTGAACTCACTTAGAATGATTGCCTGTAATTGTGTGGTATATAATATTATCTAGGGTTACTGTTTTTATATTTTCCATCGTGAATCTGGCACCCTGGTACAACGTGATCTAGTCTGTATTTAGTGGTATCGAGCATCCAATCTGGACGTACTATAAACTCCATCAACAGCCCTATATTAGCGTAGTATACTGCAGAAAGATAATAATTTTTTAATTTTCCGGTTAAATCACAGGTATCTAAAAGTGCTACTGATTACCTACATATTTCATGCAATTGTTTTCGTAAATGAAATAATTTACTCATATGAAAATCGCATGTTTTTCCATAGTGATTTTATGTATCCTGATTTTTGGTTTTCATGAAATTCAAGATTTCAGTGTTAAATTTTTCTATTACGGTTGCGTTTTATTTTACAAAGCTATATGCTTGAATCAAGCGATCATGAGAGCGTAAAAGATATATCTACACGGCGTGATATTTTTAGAATTCTTGAAGTAAGTCATAATCAATTCGCGCATTACTTGCAGTTGAAAATGATGGCCATCACTGGATTCTGAAAAGTACCATTTTTACTTTACTATTTAAAAGTCATAGGTAGTTAACAGTGGAGGACGAAAAAACCATGTAGTATTCTCTGGTTTTTATAGTTTCCCAACTGATACCAGTCTGTGATGAACAATAAGTCTATATGTACTTATACTATGCAGTTATATACACCTATGATATTTTCGTGTTTACTTCGGAAAATTCTAGGTTACCTCCGACTTGTGAACCAAACTTAATTGGTAGTACATCCTCAATAACTAGTCTTCTTGAATGGTCCAAACGGACTGATGTTTTTGACTCGAACCGTTGTCATGGTCGGACACGAATACAGACTGAGTTTCATGTTTCTCCCCATCTTTTACCACGTTTGGAAAAGGTTTGTTAATCTAATATTTGCCTGCATTTTAACTGTTACGTGGCTTATTTTCTTTTTTGACAATTTTGAGTAGAGAATTATTTCAGATTTAGAGAAAGAATAAACCTAAGAATTGGTGTGATGTGAGTAAACCTTTATGTTATGCATGTTTTTGATTCGGACTATATTAGCCTACTTGAGGTCGACAAGTCTTTTTCAGGTAATATCTATAAGCTTTCACCACTTCATTCAAGCTGTTTTCTAAACATCATCGACGTAGAATTTTAAAAAGTGATTGAAGAAATTCGGCAGCGTTGTTTAGTCCTACTTGGTTTAGAAATATGGAGAGAGGCGGCTTGGATACTTTCACTCTACCTAGAGTGTTTTTGCACAAAGTTATTAAGATGTTAACCATCTTCATAGGGTCATATCTTTCTGGTTGATTAGAATGACAGTATCTAGTCTGCTATACTCGCTTCACTGATGAAGCGTTTAATGAGAAATACAGATATAATTAACACATTCGATACATAGGAAAAGTTTATTCCACTCGCCACAGATTGGTTTCCACGTGTTTCTTGCAATCTGCACAATATGGCAACTTGCTTTTTATCTTTGAAAATTTCTAATTTGGTCAACATTAGCTTTATAGATTGTTTCACTGACATGAAGATTATTGTCATCTTAGATGATTCAAGACAATCTTTAACATTTGTAAAATGCATCTGTTTCTTTTAACTGAGTAGCAAGTTCTGATCAGGCTATGTGGCCTATGAAATTTTCTACATTGAGGACTAGTTTTCACTGTTGTACTCATACGTCGTCCAAGTCAACTGTTGAGCTTCATAAACCTGTTAAGAGTTCACTGAAACTCATTACTTGTGAGCAGGACAGTTCGTGAAGTTGCAAGCGGTTTTATTAACCCACTTTTAGTTGGAACTAGTCTCAATGTACACCTTCCGATGGACTATTAGCTGACCTTGATCTAGGAGCTATAAGTTAACTTACACCAACCTATTTACGAAGACTTACATGTTGACTACATAAACATAAAACGTGTTTCGCGCACAAAATATCATGATCAGGATGCACACAGGTAGTGTAGAAATACAGTTTTCTATACATACGCAAAATCTGTAGTTTGCTGGAATGTGATTTATTTAAGTCCGCGATACAATTTTAGAGGCGAACTTACGGTGGAACTTCAGCAATAAATATGGAAGGTCGTAACTGGTCCAAATTAGGTTGTTCTACACCAAAGCATGGAATAAGACTTCCCATTAAGTGGCTATAGACTTGTGGCAATTTCGGGTAAAAAAAGCTAGCTACCTTCAACGTCGATCGTAGTAGGGGATTACGAGTGGTGACAGTATTAACTATATTATTTCTAATTAGGTATAAAGGTGCAAATCAGAGGTGCATAAAATATTTGTTCTAGTAACGATTGAATAAATATTTTTCAGCATAGGGGGCATTTGTGAGGATTGTGGTTTAAATTAATAACCGATCTTAGCCAAACTACTATTGAAAATTTGAAAGAACTGGACGACTGTTTTTTCTAGTATGGAGCTTAGTAGTGTGCGTCCACATTCTTGCATCTGGAAGTCGAACCCAGGACTTTCGGTCTCGCGTGCGAATGCTCAACTTCTAGACCACTGTACCGGCATTCAATAGTGTACATGTCTAACTTCAATCAACTCAGGACATTGCACAACCCTGATCTATTACCTGAGGTGGTTGACTATCTCACGCTCGACATGGTTGAATTTATTTACTCGTTAGTGACTAGCCTAAAGATGCAACTCCTGGAGTTCTGCTGAATGTTCACGACTAGTAGAGTTCAAGATAATGACTGATTTTCATAAGTTTTTTAAGGTATCAATAATTCTGGATACCAACTTTGGGAAGGACAGTCGTGTGGAATCCCTAACCACCTGAGAGCTATGTTAACGACAATTATAATGACTTACAGATCATTAGTGTTAATCATCTTTTTTATGATCGCATATTTTAAATGTGTTCATTTTTTGTTAGTTCTCTTCATTTATATATTTCTATCAGTAAATGTTCAAATATTTATATTTTTCATTTATCTAAATTTGTTATTTAGGCAGATATTCTCCTCATTTCATCTCGACTACAATTTCTAGTAATTATATTGTTACTGTCAGATTTTCTTATATTGTTTTTCGGTGCACGATCTATGTCTCGTTCTCCAGTAAATATAAGAGGTCGGAATGTATTTTCTTTATGTAAGTGTATTTTATACTTTTTGTTAGTATGTTAAATTGTATTAATGTAATTCAATATAAAAACCCCCAGTCAAATGAAGAATACGTAACATAATAATCTATTGATTTGTAACTGAGTTAACTGCTAAAAGATATTCACAAACAAATAAAACTTAATAACACAAACCAAAAAAAACTACACGTAATCTTCTAATTTTTTTTTTCAACTAACATAAACTTATATTGAAATAAAATGAGTTGGATAGTTGACATATGTTTAGTTCAAAAACAGGATAAACTATTTAGCCTGTACTTTTAAATTATAATATACATCGTAATTAGTATAAGAAATGTAATATGTACATATTTATTTGAGTAATCGATTTATCTAAGGCAGTTCACCTCAAAACGTTACAAATTATTTTGGATAGCTCAAAAATACAGTCTATACTTAATTAATCATTATCTAATCACTCATAATGAATCTTTTGTTATGCAAGAAAATTTTTCTATTAAACTAATATAAATAGTCTTGTGTCGATATGAAATTAGATGATGATTAACGCGGAAAGTGTTGGAGTGATCAAGAAAATTTCTTGCAAAAGATAACCAAGGATCAGGAAACACTAAGAAGCGTTTCATCCAATCAGCGTTCACTTAAAATTTTAGCCAAAAGTATCAAGGAAGTGAAACGTCACATGTAGAGGTTCTGATTGCTATACTGCTGCTATGTTTAGTAGCATTCCAGAATCTCCTAACAACCCAAGGACATTTAAAAATATTATAAAAATCCTATATTTTCTGTGTTAAAATGAACCTTGGAGTAAAATACTTCTCGCATACTTTGCGTCTTCTCTCTCGTTCAGGTCGCTGTATAGTTCTAGCTTGGGGGTTACACAATAGCTTAGGAAACGAATATAGCGTTCAGTTTGCAAGACTTATCCGAAAGAAATATGCATCTCACCAGGATCCCAATTTATAACATCCTATTAGGCCGTTCGATACTCTACTGTGTAAGTTTCAAGACCTAGTAACTATTTAAGTCCTATCCTAATATGCTTAAATCAATCTGTAAACTATGCTTATCTCAAACATAATGATTAGCCTTCTGTTCGATTTGAATTGTTTTAAAAAAGCCCTCTGGGACTCGAATATAATTTAATCCATAGTTTCGTTACGCAGTAAAATTGTTGTGTGAATTGAGTCTTGAGTAGCAATCATTATATTTAGTCAGATTGTTTATGCATTCCTTATTGTTGACATAGCTTAAATCTGTTACCAAACTAGGATGCATGGTAATTCGATGCAGATGATAAATTACGTTTGAGAGTAAAATAAAAATAAATTATGGTTGAACGACGCAATTTAGAATATGAAATGACTAGCCTCAATTATATATATCCTCTCTGTGAATATGCATTACTTGTTATTACCAACTTTGTAAAAACCAATAGATCAAAAATTTCCTACTCATTACGCTTAATTGTTTTATTTTACTATGTACTTTTATGTAATCAAGAAAAGCTTTGCACCAGACGTTCGTCATACTACCGTTTTCCATTTTTTATATCTCCGATCTAAATTAAAATGGTTTTTAGTTTAGAACTCCTACATTTGCTTCATTCATTAGTACTTATTTTGTAACATATTTCTTTTAAATCTCCATTTTATTCTCCCTTCAGCGTTGTTTGGGAAACTAATATTAACCAAACATTTATTTGCTGACTTAAATCCATTTCCTAATATTCCGAGTCATCTATCCTAGTTGGTATGACATATTGGCCTAAATGTTGACTAATCAGTAATGATTTTGAAAGTATTACAATTGTAAATTAATGGTTTAAATGATCAAAGTGGTCAACTTGCAATGATTGTTTTATAAGTTTCAATTTTTATTCACTCCATCTATTTCTGTCTGTTCTCAACTGTCTAGTTTTGATAATCACTGTACGCGAAGTATTGTGATGCGTGCTACTTATATTGACATAAGTAGTATATAACGCGAGTCAGGAATGTAATGTCTGGCAGCAGAAGATTGGGAAGATCAAGAAAGGAAAAACGAGTATAGAAAGTAATTAGTATGGAAATGCAAGAACAATGAAGTTCGAGACAATTATTAAACATTTCGCAAATTAGAAAGTATAGTTTTTTTTCATTTTACCAAGTAACTATGTAATGTTGTGCTAAATATAATTCGGTTGTCCTCACCTGTGTTCCCCTTCAATACAGTATGATCAGATCAAATTATGGCAAATTGTATTAAGTTTAATTAAAATAACCCATAATGTCATTGAATGAGAAAAAGAGAATTAAGCGAAGAAAATTTTCTTTTCGACGAAATCATTTACTTAAGCTGTACATTCGTTTTTTTCCTGCACTTTTATTTGATTATTATCGAATTTTCGCATTTTAAACTCTAATCAGTTATTATTATTATTATTATTATTATTATTATTATTATTATTATTATTATTATTACCTCATACAAGTTTTCTTGATTATTATTCAGTTTATTATTATGACCTTTGTGTTTGTCGCTTTTCTTCATATTTGTCAATTGGATTGTTATCTGACCCATAAACGATTTTCTTCCTTACCCTCTGATTAGTACGTAACCTCATTTGTTATTTATCATCGAATCCATTTTGGTGATGCAATTTTTTCTACCTTCCTATAGACATACATTTTCCATATAACTCTATATACGAATGTACAGCTTAAGTAAATGATTTCGTCGAAAAGAACATTTTCTTCGCTGAATTCTCTTTTTGTATTAAGTTTATTAATTAATTATATCATGGTTATAATAATTATTTTTCACTTTAATTATTAACTTATAATATTAAAATGTAATTTATTTTATTTTGTTTACGAAGAAATACTTGTCACACAAATCAAATATAAAATAACTTAATGTTATTATCATCCATCGGTAAAAAGTTTTCATCAAATTGCACAATGTTCAATTCTGCGTTTACTATGAACAGCTGAATTTGGATCATTTGATAAACAATTTTACACGGCAGTTTAAAAGTTAACAATTTACAAATTTCTACTACATATATATTCTTTTGAGTTATGTACAATTCCTATTCTTAACACTGAATAGATTAATTTTTCTAAAAAAATTTTAGTTTACTACATTGTGATATACGTTTATAATATAATTCTCATTCTTTCTTAATTGTCTATGTAGTTTATTATTTGGATCATTCCATTCTCGTTTTTTTTTAAAGGGAGGGAGGATGGTTAGATTCTTCTCTCTTTTTTGTCTGATACATTGAATCAACATATTAGCGAGCTCAAATGTGATATAAATGTATATTTGATTTTATTATATCTACATATATCTATTTTGTACACCATCTTTTTTAATGTTGTTACTATTATTATTTGTTTGTTTCTACAACCATAAATGTACTTTTTCGACTCTATAAATAACTGATGTAAATATAAAAATAAAAGTTGGTTATCTTTTTTTTCTGTTTCCTAATTGTGTGTATTTGTGTGTGTGTTGTGTTTCTTTAATATTCTTCTTTGTCGTTTACTTATCTTAGTCTGATGCTTTTAATTGATTTAACTGTTATAGTTAGAAACCAGAGTTTTATATATAGTTTTGTTTAGTTTTTTCTCGTGCAAACTATGAATGCTAAAAATCATGTTACCTAAAGTCATTTATTGTTACATTAATTAGGAAATATTTAAAATATACTTACATTTTTACCTGAAGATTTATGACATAACGGTTAATCGTAGAACATTTTTATGGATTTCCTACTGTACCTTAATGTATGGTAAAGTGGTATTATCTTTATTAATTTCGTTTAAATAATTAACATTTGTCTGTTTGTATATTTTCATGCTCTCATAATTTATTTGAAGGACACTGAACATCATTGTCCTATCAATTAGACAGTCTGTTATAGTCACTTGTGAAGAAATCCTGATAGCTCATTTTATCTAGATTAGTGATCATTACTTTGCAACTAAATCAAAGGATATAACCCTATTAAATAGATTCTTTTTTCCTTACGTTCATTCTTTTCTTGTTTAGACAAAATATGTTGCAATATGAATCAATTTGAACCACAAAGATCAGAAGCTAACACGTAGATTATATGTGTGCGAAATGAAAGTTTTGTCTTCTTGATTTATCCCCCCCCTGGACCTTTAAAAAAGAAATAGTTATAAATATCATTAGTTCGTTGGGTACTTTCATGAGATCAGTACATATATCGATTTTGAAAGGATCCTGTTTTATAACCAATGCCCAATGTAATAATAATGGTACTATTTAAGTTATGTCAAGTTAACTTTATCACTTGTATTGGGTTAATGATTACAACTGATAAAATCGACATTTTATCTTGATTTGTGTAATAAGGAGTGAGCAGTTCATTCGCTGAGCCAGTCTGTGAAATTATTGCTACTATCTCACTTTCTATCTTTTGCTCATCTGAAAACTCTTTATATACTAGGTAAACCTTCCTCAACCAATTTTAATCAGTCTGACGAATTAGTGTATTATGTTATTCAGTTTAATAGTTTGCAAAGTAACTGAGTGATAGTGCTGTCGGTTTGTGAATTCATAGTGTTATTTTATAATGTTACAATAACTTTTTAGTTATGATTCAACATTACAATTGAGATGGGATATCTTCCCATGAAAACACTGATTTTCCGCTGATCGTGTTAGGCCAATGGAACTCAGCATACCGTCTAATAAAGTACTAGAAAGCCTTTAAAACGGTTTACTTATCAAAATATAAATTGCTTTCAAATTACAATTTCCCGTCCCTCGTATTTAAATTTTTTACACATCAGCTTACAATGGTAATCTCAGTGTAAGCAAGCAATCAATTACTGGCTTGTATATTAGATTTAGAAACATGTATTCTGTTTGGGACCTAAGAGGTGAAAATGAATTTCAAGTTGGTCCCTAATAGTTGAATACTAATTTTCTAACCAACGAGTTCTATGGAGTATATCAATTTTCGGAATAGTTGGAAATGTCTTTTTATGTACATAAAACATGTTGTGTCTTCTTGAAACCATTTCTTTTTAGTAACTGATGCGGTTTTGGGTGACCGATTTAACTTTTCTCCTCCAAATAGTCCTAGCAAAACAGCGATAACTGATAAAATTTCTGAAGAGTTTTGTTTTCGCTCCCTACATAATAAAATTAATAATTCATAATAGAAACGTGGGGAAAGAATGTTGCAACTTCAACACAAGTATCCCATTCTCTTTCTCACAAAGTCTTTCATGGCCACCACTATTTTGAATCCCCTGATAGTACTGATGGTCTCTTTAGTCTTTTGTGCGTTTGTCTTAAATTATATTCCAAGGTGGTATTAGATGATCAGTATAGGTTCTTGCATAAATTGATTCGAAGTTTACCTACTTACTGTTTACCTTCAAAGAAAGTCCACTAAGTAAAGATTGCTTTATGCAACTGAAATACGTGCAACTTTATACAATGGTACATTCTTGTGCTCATTGCTGCTTTCAGACTGTGTCCCACTAGTTATTCACCCCTTTTATTTATCTTATTATCATGCTACCATGGTTTTACTCATAGTGGTCTTTGATATCAGTTCATTTAATTCCTCTTGTGCATTTCATTTCCGTGACAAAAAATTTTGATTGTCCTGTAGTGAACGAGGAACACATCTTCAACCAGTTGTACTTTAAATGCTTCATAACTCTCTCAATTGTGTTGTATATCATTTAAGATCATTGTAGTGATTTTAAAGAAATGGATTATTTTCATGATTAGTATAAGTCTAAGTATATATATATTGCGCAGTAATGTCTAATGTGTATTTTATTACAGTGTGCACGAACTTTATCTTACTATGAGAAATCTCATGTTGATGCTGTATTTCGCTTATTACATTACATGATTATATTTTAAACCTCAGTCTAAAGTAATACGTATATGATGTTATCCGCGCTTACACTGTTAGATCAATGGTAATCGATCCATAACCATAACTTAATTTGTTCTACCTATTTGAGTTGTTTAATAATATGATAGATAAATTTTACTTGCTTCTAGTGCTGTTCGTTCCAATTTACTGAATGCTAAGGATAGTAATTAACTGATTTCGTTTCACAACTGTCGTAAGGTATTTTAGAATAATTATGTTTCAGTAGATGTGCTTTTCTCCTCAGTGTTTGGATTTTATAACAGTTTCGTACTACTTAATAAGTACTATTGATAGTCGATAATCCTCAAGCTTTACCCTTATTAACTTAAACATTACATTCTGACTTGTCGACCAAATGGCATCCTGGTTGCCACAGAATTTAAATATCTTGTAATCAATGTTACTATCTGCTATTTCAAAACTAAGACGAAAGAAATTGTTTGACTCACACCAGTTTTAGTCAGTGTTTCATTGGAATTAATAAGAAAACTTTTTTTGAATTAGACAAACCATCACAAAGTATTCCGACAAAATAAGTGATATATTCAGTAAGTGTGCGTTTTCATTGTGCGTATTAGCTGAAATATTGGTCACCTTGTTCACTTATTTTCTCTTATTTCTTCGTTAGCTAATAATTAATTTGATATAATTTTTGTTGCTATTTCAGCATTCTTATTGTCGCTCCAGTCATCAAATTCTTTGAATCTCATCTATCCTAATGACTACATTGGCCGATTTGCATAGGTTGCGAGAGGCTCATACAGCAGCAAATGCAAACAAAGATGGTAGGTCAGTCACATATATATATATATATTCCTTACTTGTTTTCTTTGCCTACCTCATTGATTAGTTTAGGTGTATTCCTGACACTTGATGTGTTCCGACTGTTTTAAAAAAAGTGTTAAGATATACAAACGATGTATACTGAAAACTGTACCTACTCTGTTTGTATGTGTGTTCATGATTGTTTGCTGTTATTTGTTATTGGTGATGCTATTCGTTGATTCGCTGGTTTTTCTTTCTTGTGCATAGGTCATATGTATCGTATTCAACTATTAAATCATATCTTCAATTATTTATATTTAAGTGCACTATAAATACTACTTTCACGGTGATTATTAATACTTGAAAATAACAATATTAAAAATAATTATTACTGTGTTTCTTATCAGTAACAAATTCATTATATTTGCGTTTGTCTTGATAAAAACTGATTTTATATTGATTATAAGTGATGTTGCGTTCATCTAGTAAACTTATTAAACACTAAAAATAATCAATCGTACAGATTACAAAATGTATTACTTGTAATATTATGAGTGATAGATTAACGTGATCTAATGCCTGATGATTGTTCTTAGGAAAATAACCTATCTTTTAAGTATACTTCCATGTAAATGGCTTTATATCAGATTTTCGATGTAAGATTTACTCGTACTAAAGGACTGCTTTAACCTATTAAATCGAAGCGGGTTTTGAACATTCCACGTAATTGTTAAAAGTTGAATGGTTTATCAACT